ATACACCCCACAGGTTTTTTTTTAAATCCATTGCTCAGGAAATAGGACTTTGAGAGGAGAAACTTCCATTCCTGTTTTAGCTGGGTTCCTTCAAAACAGAGGCACCCAGGGATTTGGGTGCAGTGGCTATTTGGGAGGTGATCCCAGGTTACTCAGTGAGGCAGTGGGGAAAGAAGAAAGAGAAGAAAAGAGAGGAAAAGGGGCATTAATGGTCAAGTTACCATTGTGGACAAACAGCACTCATTCCCACTGAGTCCTCTGAGAGGCTGTGTCTCTCAAAACTGTCCTACCACCAGGTGTGGTGGTTCATGCCTATGAGTACTTTGGGAGGCTGAGGCAGGCGATCGTCTGAGGTCAGGAGTTCAAGACCAGCCTGACCGATGTGGTGAAACCCTGTTTCTATACTAAAAATACAAAAAAAAAAAAAAAATAGCCAGGTGTGGTGGTGCATGCCTGCAGTCCCATCTGCTCAGAGGCTGAGGCAGGAGAATTGCTTGAACCCAGGAGGCAGAGGTTGCAGTGAGCCAAGATTGCACCACTGTACTCCAGCCTGGGCAACAGAATAAAACTCTGTCTCAAAAAAAAAAAAAAAATTTGTCTTACCAACAGATGTGGAGGCTGAGAAATGTATATGCCACTTCTTTTTCTCCTTGGTTATAATCCCAGCACTTTGGGAGGCCAAGATGGGTGAATCACTTGAGGTCAGGAGTTCAAGACCAACCTGGCCAACATGGTGAAAACACATCTTTACTAAAAATACAAAAAATTAGACTGGGTGTGGTGGCTCACGCCTATAATCCCAGCACTTTGGGAGGCCGAGGCAGGTGGATCACAAGGTCAAGAGATCGAGACCCTCCTGGTCAACATAGTGAAACCCCGTCTCTACTAAAAATACAAAAAAATTAGCTGGGCATGGTGGCACACACCTGTAGTCCTAGCTACTTGGGAGGGTGAGGCAAGAGAATTGCTTGAACCCAGGAGGCGGAGGTTGCAGTGAGCCGAGATCGCGCCATTGCACTCCAGCCTGGGTAACAAGAGCGAAACTCCGTCTCAAAATAAAATTAACCAGCTGTGGTGGCACATGCCTGTAATCCCAGCTACCTGGGAGGCTGAGCAGGAGAATTGCTTGAACATGAAAGGCAGAGGTTGCAGTGAGCCGAGATTGTGTTATTGCACTCCAGCCTGGGCAACAAGAGTGAAACTCTTCGGAGGATAAACTGTCCACCCCGTTGAGGGCAGGTTTGGCCGGGTCACTTGCTTTAGCCAACAGAACGAAAGCGGAATACCAACGTGACCCTTGTATCTTCTATTGTGTCTCCTTCTCTTCCCTCTGCCACAGACCAGCAGTGACCATTAGCCTAGGTCCCAGAGTGAAGACAGTACGTAGCCAACCAATAATGGGTGGGTGAACAAGAACCTTTGTTCTCATTCTTTTTTCTTTTCTTTTCTTTTTATTGAGATAGCGTCTTGCTCTCTTGCATAGGCTAGAGTGCAGTGGTACAGTCTTGGCTCACTGCAACATCCACCTCCTGAGTTCAGGCTTTTCTCCTGCCTCAGCCTTCTGAGTAGCTGGAATTAAGGTACACGCCAACATGCCCAGCTAATTTTTTTTTTTGAGATGGAGTTTTGTTCTTTTTACCCAGGCTGGAGTGCAATGGTACAATCTTGGCTCACTGCAACCTCTGCCTCACAGGTTCAAGCGATTCTCCTGCCTCAGCCTCCCGAGTAGCTGGGATTACAAACTAATTTTTTTTTTTTTTTTTTTTTGAGACAGTCTCACACTGTCACCCGGGCTGGAGTGCAGTGGTGCAGTCTTGGCTCACTGCAACTTCCGCCTCCCAGGTTCAAGTGATTCTTCTGCCTCAGCCTCCCAAGTCGCTGGAATTACAGTCACCCATCACCATGCCAGGTTAATATTTGTAGTATTAGCAGAGACGGGGTTTCACCATGTTGGCCAGGCTGATCTCCAACGCCTGACCTTGTGATCCCTCCGCCTAAGACTCCCAAAGTGCTGGGATTACAGGCGTGAGCCACCGTGCCCAGCCTGGTTTTTGTATTTTTGGTAAAGACAGGGTTTCACCATGTTGGTCAGGCTGGTCTCGAATTCCTCGTCTCAAGTGATCCATCCCCCACTTGGCTTCCCAAAGTGCTGGGATTACAGGCATGAGCCACCGCGCGCCTGACCTGTTCCTGTTCTTTCTGGTTGTAAGTCACTGACCATTTGGGGCTGTTTATTCATGCTGCGTATCTTAGCCAAAGCCGACTGATGGAGTGATTTCTGGAAATGGCTTGGCTCAACTCCTTCCTGACCCTTTCTTTAAATTTGCCTGACCACTGAGAAGGAGATTTCTGGTTTGCTTTTTGTCATGTGGTTAGGTCTCCCCAACCATGCTAAATTGTGAGTCAATTAAGCCTGTTTCCTTTATAAATTACCCAGTCTCAGGCATTTCGTCACAGCAGTGTGAGAACAGACTAATACGGTAACTCTGTTTGGGGCAGCTTGTGGTTTTCCAGCTATGCCATGACTTGGTCTTTGAGTCTGTCTAATGTAAGAGTGAAAGTTCATAGTCAAGGTTCATTTTTCCATCACAGCACATCCATTCATAGCACAGCCTAGGCTGTATGCCCAGTTTAGCTGCATAAACTCAGACCTAGTGTTTATTGGTAATAAATCAAACATTTTGGCCGGGCGTGGTGGCTCACGCCTATTATCCCAGCACTTTGGGAGGCCGAGGCGGGTGGATCACAAGGTCAAGAGATCGAGACCCTCCTGGTCAACATGGTGAAACCCTGTCTCTACTAAAAATACAAAAATTAGCTGGGCATGGTGGCGCGCGCCTGTAGTCCCAGTTACTCGGGAGGCTGAGGCAGGAGAATTGTTTGAACCCAGGAGGCGGAGGTTGCAGTGAGCTGAGATGGTGCCATTGCACTCCAGTCTGGGTAACAACAGTGAAACTCTGTCTCAAAAAATAAATAAATAAATAAATCAAACATTTTTATTCCCTCTCTCTGTCTCCTGTGTCTGTCTCTAAATTTGTTCCTGACCTGATGGGGAAGAGAAGTAGTATTCACTGAGCTCCTTCAAAACCCAAAAACCTTTTTTCATGATTCCAGTCTTAGCAATTGAAGTGGTTTGGCTGTGTCCCCACCCAAATCTCATCCTGAATTGTAGTTCCCATAATCCCCACGTGTTGTGGAGGGCCCTGGTAAGAGGTAACTGAATCATGGGAGCAGTTTCCCCATGCTGTTCTCCCCATACTATCACGAGATAATGAGTCTCACGAGTTTACTTTGAGATGGACTCTCATTCTGCTGCCCAGGCTGGAGTGCAGTGGTGTGCTCTCGACTCACTGCAACCTCCATCTCCCAGGGTCCAGTGATTCTCCTGCCTCAGCCTCTCCAGTAGCCGAGATTTTAGGCACCTGCCACAGCACTCAGCTAAATTTTTTTTTTTTTTTTTTTTGAGACGGAGTTTTGTTCTTGTTACCCGGGCTGGAGTGCAATGGCGTGATCTCGGCTAACCGCAACCTCCACCTCCTGGGTTCGGGCAATTCTCCTGCCTCAGCCTCCTGAGTAGCTGGGATTACAGGCACACACCACCATGCCCAGGTAATTTTTTTTTGTATTTTTAGTAGAGATGGGGTTTCACCATGTTGACCAGGATGGTCTTGATCTCTTGACCTCTTGATCCACCTGCCTCAGCCTCCCAAAGTGCTGGGATTACAGGCTTGAGCCACGGCGCCCAGCCTTTTTTTTTTCTTTTTTGAGACAGAGTCTTGCTGTCACCCAGGCTGGAGTGCAGTAGCATGATCTTGGCTAACTGCAACCTCTGCCTCCTGGGTTCAATCAATTTTCCTGTCTCAGCCTCCCAAGTAGGCTAAAAGTACAGGCACACACCACCAAGCCTGGCTAATTTTTGTATTTTTAGTAGAGATGGGGTTTCACCATGTTGGTCAGGCTGGTCTTCAACTCCTGACCTCAGGTGAGCCATCTGCCTTGGTCTCCCAAAGTGCTGGGACTACAGGCATGAGCCACCACACCTTGTTCCACAGCAAGTTCCCTTGCTGGCACTCATTCTCTCTTCTGCCACCCTGTGAAGAGATGCCTCCCACCATGATTATAAGTTTCCTGACCAACACTCGGCTAATTTTTGTATTTTTAGTGGAGACAGGGTTTCACTATACTGGCCAGGCTGGTCTTGAACTCCTGACTTTAAGTGATCCACCTGCCTCAGCCTCCCAAAGTGCTAATATCATAGGCATGAGCTGCCATACCCGGTGGTCTGATGGTTTAATAAGGGTTTTTTCTCCCCTTTGCTCTGTACATCTCCTTCCTGGTGCCATGTGAAGAAGGACATATTTGCTTCCTCTTCCATCATGATTGTAAGTTTCCTGAGGTCTCCCCAGCCATGCTAAATTGTGAGTCAATTAAATCTGTTTCCTTTATACATTACCCAGTCTCAGGTATTTCTTCACAGCAGTGTGAGAACAAACTAATACGGTGAATTGGTACCTTAGACAGTGGGGTGCTGCTCTAAAGAAACCTGAAAATGTGGAAGCAACTTTGGAACTTGGTAGCAGAGTTGAAACAGTTTGGAGGGCTCAGAAGAAGACAGGAAAATGTGGGAAAGTTTGGAACTTCCTGGAGACTTGTTGAATGGCTTTGACCAAAATGCTGATAGTGAGATGGACAATGAAGTCCAGGCTGAGGTGGTCTCGGATGGAGATGAGGAACTTGTTGAGAACTAGAGCAAAGGTCACTCTTGTTATGCAAAGAGACTGGTGGCATTTTGCCCCTGCCCTAGAGATCTGTGGATCTTTGAACTTGAGAGAGATGAGTTAGGATATCTGGTGAAAGAAATTTCTAAGTGGCAAAGCTTTCAAGAGGAAGCACAGCATAAAAGTTTGGACCTATCTCCCTGCATTCACAGAAGGATGTAGTCCAGATATTGTCATTGCCACAGATACTAACATATGTTCTTCTTCTCCTCACTCTCCCAGGTATCTTCCCTCGTTCTCACCCTCAGGAATAAAACAATTAGAGTGGAAATGCAAAGAGAAAGAAGAGTCAGAACTCAGCTTTTAAATTTCAACATTCAATATTTTTAAATTTCAAATGTGTGGCTAGAGAGAAAAGTCTCCGTGTTTCAAAAGTTGCATCTTTTTTACTCCAGAAGCTTGAATCCTATGTGATTCTGGAAGTCTGTGTTCTATAAAATCTAGAGGTTCAAAAGAAGCAGAATCTGCAGGATGGGTGTGGCAGCCCCACCTAGGAGAGGCAAGGCGGCCGGGCTGAGGACAGAGAGGAGGTGAAGCAGAGCCTGGTATGGGTCTCTGGAGGATCCTTGTCACCTGCCTCTTTCCAGATGGAGCTTCAGGGAGGAAAGAGGGAGAAACAGAGCCCAGGGGGGTCGCTGTGGCATCTGGAAGGAGTGGAGACCTGTGCCTCACTTCTTGTCACGGGCCCTGGAGGCGGTGGCTCTTGCAGTGTTTCCCCTCCCAGCGAGGGATGCCTTTTTTGTGTCTACACCACAGGGGCCCAAGATAGCCTCTTGGAGATTCCCAAGGCCTCCAGAGCAGTGGGAGCAGCCAGGGTTTCCCCATGTCCTTGACAATGGCAATGTCAGTGGCTCAACAACAAGAATCACATGGGATGGCTGGGTGGAGCCCAGCCTGGATCAATACTGACAGCAGGACAGGGACCCAGAGGAAGATACCTGAGCAAGTGCCAGCAGGGACAAGAAAGACAATGACAACCTCATGCCTCAACAAAACAAAAATCCAGCAGCTTATACTCCCAATGGAAAGCAGGATGAAGAAACGTAACTTCCAGTTGACAGAAAAAAATGGTTGGCTCTTCTGTCCCCTCTTCCCTATGAGATTTGTATCTCCCCAAATCAAAACACCCTAAAAAGTTCTGAAAGGCAGGGTGGGGCGCTGGAAGGCAGTGGATGTGGAGTGAGGGGACAAGAGTTTCTTTGTCACTGGCCATCTTGTGTGACCTTGAGCTGGTCATTTCACCTCTCTGGTTCTCAGTTTTCTCATCTGTAAAATAAGATGTAATGCTACCTGCTCCTCTGGCTGCTTGTGAGGATTAAATGCAAAAAAATCCGAAAAACAAAACAAACTTCCCCCGCTTCCCGGCTGAGTTCTGCACCTGGTAGTTAGGGGCTCAGCAAATAGCTGAACCTTCCCTGCCTTTCCCTTTCAATTGTTGCCCATTTAGAAACACCATAATTCTTTGCAGGAAAGATGGATACATGAGGTTACATATACCAGCGCCTGGAAAACAAAATGAAACAAAGCCTTCTTCCACTCTGGGGAAGAAACAATAAAAACCTCAAGGCACAAAACAGACAATGAAAATGACTTGAGAGCGGGGCTGGGGGTGGTGGGCAGGGTGAGGGCGGTGACTGCACTCAATGAAAAGCAACAACTCAATACCCTGCTATCATCCTTCATCAAACTACAGAAATAGAAACCAGACAAACACATTATGTGAAGGGCAAAAGGGCTGGCAAGGTTCTGGCCTATAGGAAAAACCCTGGTTCGATAATCCCACGAACAGAGGGAGGTAGGGAAGGGAGGTCAAAGTCAATAGCAGTTTTTTTTCTTTTTTTCTTTGTCAGAACGCTGGTTTACAGTCCTAATGAGGCTTAAACATCACACGCTCCTTTTTGACTGAATTCAGTTTCTCATTAGACTCTGTATCTGCTCCCAGATCAGCCAGGCACATGCCAGGAGCTGCTTCTACTTCCTCTGGCCAGTGAATTATCAGGGGTATTTCTGCCTGTTTTTTGTCTTTTTTTTTTTTTTGGTTAAAGAAAGCTTTGGAGTCGAAATGGTCTCTTCTAATTATATCTCCTCTCCTCTCTCTGATTAGAAAGGTGATCAATTTTGGGGAAGGACCTGGGCTCTGTCTTTCTTCAGAGGAGTGCCTGGTTAAGATAGTATTATCTGCTCTGGGTCTTTTCCGTTTTTCCAGAGAAAATCTCAGGCCGGCAGCCATGTTTTTTAATATCTTCAGGAGTCTTGGAAAAGATACGCTTTATGTCAAGCTCAGTGCTAGGTGCTAGGAACGCAGAAACCAAAAAAAGGAATTAAGAAAGTGCTCATGTTCTCAAAGAACGCAAAGAGATTTACACCACCAGGTTGTAGGTAACCAGAGTACTGGGTTAACTGCCGCTGGCTCTGGAATAGATGTTTCCCTAAGATGGCTTATCTCTTAAAGACCTCACAAGAGCTCTGAGGCTGGGTATACTCTGGCTCCATTTTCACAGATGAACAGCCTACCTACCGCTCCCAGTCTTTGTTCCACCGAAGACCACGGTGCACTCCAGTCCTGGTCCTTTGACTCCAAGCCCTCTGCTGAGTTTCCTCTTGGTAGCAACCCAGTGGGCAGTGCCAAACTCTTCCAAGCCCATGGAAGGGCACACAAGAATTTACAGGGCACACAAGAATTTACTACCTTTTATCAGAGAGCATACGCTGGGAAGTTCCTCCTTATTTTGAAAGACCCAGGTCAAGTGTAACACTCTGGATGAAACTTGTTCTGTCTCCCCCAGGCAGAGTGAGTTACATCCTTCTGTAATACCCTTATTGCTTTTGGCCCATATATTAATCCTATTAATAAAGATAGTCGGTGCAATAATAGTAGTAAAATGGTCTGAGTTAACACTAACTGTGTTTGTGAACCAGGTGTCACGCTAAGGGTTTGACATGCATTATTTAATGGTCAAAAGAATGTCAGGGGAGACAGTATTACTGTGTTTGGTTTATAGATTCTATCAGTTGGGAGTTAAGTGTGGCTGCATGTTGAAACCTGTCTGCAGCGGCTTAACCAAATGGGAACTTGTTTTTCTCAAATAACAATAAATTAGTATAGACAGGCTCGGGCTGATATGGTGGGTCTACTATATATATATATATATGTTTTTGCTTTTTTTGTTTTTTTTTTTAGAGACCTAAGTGGGGACCACTGCTTGGGAGTCTGAAGCATAAGGCACCATACCGGCTAATTTTTATATTTAGTAGAGATGGTGTTTCTCCATGTTGACCAGGCTGGTCTCAAACTCCTGACCTTAGATGATCTGCCCACCTTGGCATCGCAAAGGACTGGGATTACAGGTATGAGCCCCCACGCCTTGGCTGTCATACTGTTCTTAGCATGTGGCTTTTGCTATTTTGAAGACAAGATGTCTGCCGTTTTCCCAGTGTGTGCTCCAGGCAGAAGAAAGGGTGAAGGGCAAAGGGCAAAGGGCAAAGGACAAAGGACAAAAGAGCCTTTTCTTCTTGTGGTTTTGTCTTCTTCTTCTTTTTTTTTTTTTGAAACAGAGTTTCGTTCTTGTTGCCCCTGCTGGAATGTAGTGGTGCAATCTCGGCTCACTGCAAGCTCTGCCTGTCGGGTTCAAGCGATTCTCCTGTCTCCGCTTCCCAAGTAGCTGGGATACAAGCATATGTCATTATACCCAGATAATTCTTTGTATTTAGTAGCGACGGGGTTTCACCATGTTAGTTAGGCCGGTCCCGAAGTCCTGACCTCAGGTGATCTACCCGCCTTAGCCTCCCAAAATGGCCAGTGGTTTTGTCTTATTAACTGGGAAGGAATGCTAGCTTCCACCCACATCTCATTGGCCAGGATGGTGTTATGTGGCCACCCTTAGCTTCCAGGGAACCAGGGTATTCTTGTTCCTTTTCTTTTTTATTGCTGAGCAGATTTCTGTCCTGAACAAGATGTCCTGTCTGCTAGGATGGAGTAAGAGAAGAATAAATATTGGGTTGGTCACTACCAGTGCCTGCCACATAAATGAAGAAACCAGGCCTTAGAGATGCTAAGGGTCTTGTCCAAAATCAGATAGATGGCAAGGTCAGACCCAGACCCATGTTGTGTGACAGAGTCTGTGTGAGCGCTGACTTCCTCATCACGACGCATTGCAATTGCCTTTGGATTTGTTCATCTCTTCCGCCCTAGATTGTGAGCTCCTTGGGACTAAGAATAATTTTTTTTCCATCTCGGTATTCCAGACTCCTGCCCATAATTTGTTGACTGAATAAATGAATAAATGTTAGGACTGCAGTAGCTTCTGCAGCTAAAAATTCTTTCTAGGAAAATATTCTTTTTTTTTTGAGACAGAGTCTTGCTTTGTCTCCAGGCTGGAGTGCAGTGGCGCAATCTCAGCTCACTACAACCTCCGCCTTCTGGGTTCAAGCTGTTCTCCTGCCTCAGCCTCCGGAGTACCTGGGATTACAGGTGCATGCCAGCACGCTCAGCTAATTTTTGTATTTTTATTACAGATGGGGTTTTGGCCAGGCTGGTCTTGACTCCTGACCTCAGGTCATTTGCCCGCCTCAGCCTCCCGAAGTGCTGGGATTACAGGCATGAGCCACTGGCCGAAAATATTCTTTAATGTCCTCTTCCTCTGTGATGGTTCATAACTACCTGTTTCCAAACAGGTGGCTGCAGATGTATAGAAAAGAAATGACCCTGGTCTTTGTGCTGCCACGGATGCATTTTGCCTCTTCTGCGATTCGTAGGTGTTTAATTCTCCACTCTCTCCCTAAATATATAATGCTTGTTTACAGGGCAAGGTCCAGTTTCTCTTTGTTCTGTCGGGTCATTCAGATGTTCCTATACTGCATGGCTCTATTTCTTAGGGACTGGAGCACTACTTGAATAACAATAATTTGAGTCACAGGTAGCTCTGGTCTCAAATCTCATTTCTTGCTGGGTCATGGGGCAGCCCAGGAAGGATCTAACATCATTTAGATTTAAGTGATTTCAGTATTTTGGCAAGGCAAGTACTGAAGGGAGAATCAATCTTTCTTTCTTTCTTTCTTTCTTCTTTCTTTTCCTTCTTTCCTCCTTCTCTCTCTCTCTCTCTCTCTCTCTCTCTCTCTCTCTCTCTTTTTTTTTTGGAGACAGGGCTCTGTAGCCCAAGCTGGAATGCAGTGGCATGATCTTGGCTTACTGCAACCTCTGCCTCCCAGGTTCAAGCGATTCTACTGCCTCAGCCTCCTGAGTAGCTGGAATTTATGGAGTGCTTATCTGCCACCATGCCTGGCTAATTTTTTTGTATTTTTGGTAGAGATGGGGTTTCACTATTTTGCCTAGTCTGGTCTTGAACTCCTGGCCTCAAGTGATCTTCCTGCCTCGGCCTCCTAAAGTGCTGGGATTACAGGTGTGAGCCACTGTGCCCAGTTGGGAAAGGAGAATTCTTATGCTATCAGTTCAATAAATAAAATTTTCAGAAAACCAACTGCTAAAGTCCCTAGGCTAAAGAAAAGACACAAAAACAAAAAACCACTGTGGTTTCATAGGCCACCAGGAAATATCCTCATTACCCTTCAAGGCCACACTTCTTGGTCGGACAGGATCAGGTTGTGGGGTGCTGCCAACTGGAAAACCCCTGACTTAGGTTGGGGCTGTCTAATTCAGCACAAGAACAAGCTTCAAGCACTTGGACTTTCACTTGGTGGTCCAAATAATAATATTAAGAGACGTTTCTGGGCTGGGTGTGGTGGCTCATGCCTGTAATGCCAGCACTTTAGGAGGCTGAGGCAGGAGAATCACTTAAGGCCAAGAGTTTGGGACCAGCCTGGCCAACATGGCGAAACCCCATCTCTACTGAAAATACAAAAATTAGCTGGGCATGGTGGTGAGCACCTGTAGTCTCAGCTGCTTGAGAGGCTGAGGCAAGAGAATTGCTTGATCCCGGCAGGTGGAGGTTGCAGTGAGCTACGATTAGGCCACTGGACTCCATCCTGGGAGACAGTGAGAACCTGTTTCAAAAAAAAAAAAAAATACGTTTAGGCTTCTCTTTCCAAGGCTCCTAGTTAACAGCTTACTGTCACTATATCACTAACCAAATTAGATGATGAATAATTACCACCTATTAAGCAGTTACTACTATATGTTAGGCACTGTGCTAGGTGTTTAATTTTGTCCCATTTAATCCTTAGAACAACACTGTGACTATTATTAGTGTTATCCTACAGATGAGAAATGGAAGCCTTAGTGAAATGAAATAATTTGCCCAGCGTAGTGTTTGCACCAAGGGGTTACTCGGGTGCTTTGTCTGCCCCAGGTGAATCTCTAGCAGCCCCACTCAAGCCATCTTATATAAAAAAAAATAGCCCAAGGATAATGATATTCCTTGATCTTGCCAATGAATGTTTCTTCACTCTCATTTAAAATGTGAATAAAGGCCAGGCTTGGTGGCTCATGCCTGTAATCCCAGAACTTTGGGAGGCCAAGCGGGGGCAGATCACTTGAGGTCAGGAGTTTGAGACCAGCCTGACCAACATGGTGAAACCTTGTCTCTACTAAAAACAAAAAAATTAGCTGGGTGTGGTGGCAGGCACCTGTAATCCCAGCTACTTGGGAGGTTGAGGCACAAGAATCGCTTGAATCCCAATAAGTGGAGGTTGCAGTAAGTCGAGATTAAGCCACTACACTCCGATGTGGGTGACAAAGCGAGACTCCATCTGAAAAAAAAGTGAATAAAATGATAATGGTTGTAATAATAACAGCTGGCCAGGCATGGTGGCTCACGCCTGTAATTCTAGCACTTTGGGAGGCCGAGGCAGGTGGATTGCCTGAGCTCCGGAGTTCAAGATTAGCCTGGGCAACACAGTGAAACTCCATCTCTACTAAAATACAAAAAAATTAGTCAGGCGTGGCAGCACACGCCTCTAATCCCAGCTACTCGGGAGGGAGGCTGAGACAGGAGAGTTGTTTGAACCTGGAGGCAGAGGTTACAGTAAGCCAAGATCGCGCCACTGCACTCCAGCCTGGGCAACAGGGAGCGACTCTATCTCAAAAAAAAAAATAATAATAATGATAATAGCTAATATTTATGGAGTGCTTATCTTAAATCATTCTTTTGATGTTCTAAACACATGATAACATTGCATTCTTACAATAATCTTTATAGAAGGTGTTGTTATCCTAATTTGCAGATGAAGAAATTGAGACACAGAGAGGGTAAGTAGTTGTCATAAGGCATCATGACTTGTAGGTGGCAGAGCTAAAACTTGGCCATTTTTATTTGTTTATAATACAGCCTAACTAATACAAGCAATATGCTCACTACAACAGCTCACCTTCAAGGTAAGTCCTCCAGACTTCCCTTCTAATTAGTCTACAATCCCTCGACACCTTTTATATAGAAATTCTTAGTCCTGGCCGGGCGCAGTGGCTCATGCCTGTAATCCCAGCACTTTGGGAGGCTGAGGCGGGTGGATCACGAGGTCAGGAGTTTGAGGCCATCCTGGCCAACATGGTGAAACCCTGTCTCCACTAAAATACAAAAAATTAGTGAGGTGTTGTGGTGCGCCTGTAGTCCGACCTACTTGGGAGGCTGAGGCAGGGAATTGCTTGAACCCAGGAAGCAGAGGTTGCAGTGAGCGGAGATCGTACCACTGCACTCCAGCCTGGTGACAGAGCAAGACTTGTCTTTTTTTTTTTTTTTTTTTGAGATGGAGTCTCCCTCTTGTTACCCAGGCTGGAGTGCAATGGCGCAATCTCGGCTCACCGCAACCTCCGCCTCCTGGGTTCAGGCAATTCTCCTGCCTCAGCCTCCTGAGTAGCTGGGATTACAGGCACATGCCACCATGCCCAGCTAATTTTTTGTATTTTTAGTAGAGACGGGGTTTCACCATATTGACCAGGATGGTCTCAATTTCTTGACCTTGTGATCCACCCGTCTCAGCCTCCCAAAGTGCTGGGATTAAAGGCTTGAGCCACCGCGCCCTGTCCAAGACTTGTCTCTTAAAAAAATTAAGGAGGTGGTGAAGCCTGGGTTCTCATTTGGCATCTAGGTTGGTCTGACTGTAAAGCAGGGATATTTACTGCTATACTGTTTCAGCCCTAGCAAGGTTAAACCCAATTTCAAAGGCCAAATCAAAGACAGGTTGGAAATGACCTTGGAAATCATC